ATGTGTACAGGAGCAAGGTAGTCTGAAGCAATAATAAATGTCATATTCACAGGCATGTTTTATTTCTGCTCACTTGGAGGGATATAACCACACGTAGGGTACATATACAAGGTATGGTTGTCTGCAGGCTGAGCAAATGGAGACTCACTCTAGAACTGATGGCAAAATTGTATTAATGCCCAGAAATGCCCGTTTTTAAGCCCAATAGAGTCACTGACCATGCAGTACAGTAGGGGCTTGGTTTCTTTTTTGCCTGTCATCTTTCTGGGTTTCTGTTGTGAAAACTTAGAGGCTGACTCAGTTGCAAAGCAGGTTCTGGGCAGGAATTAGTCTAAGCAGAGCAATTTCAACAGGCCAGGAGGAAATGCCACCTCTCTGAGCCAGCATATTTGCATTTATAGGACAGAACAGAATTCGAACTCAGCGCTAAAAAAAGACACGCAGAGCACACAATGATTTGTGGCTGCTAGAAAAAAGCAAAGCTTGTACAGAGATGGAACTATGTAAGAGGAGGGTGGGAAGAGAGGAGAGTTACTCAAAGTCCTGCATTGCAGGCATTTTTGTTGCCCCAAGTATTGAAAGTTCCAGGGGCTGCAAGTTGCAAACTCAGCCCAACTTGGATGTGCAGACTGGTGGATTTGCTGCAGGTGGTTGTGTCAAACTTCAGGCCAAAAGAGGGGAAATTATGAGTGAAGTGGTGTTATGGAAGTCCTCAATATATCAAATACATCAAAACAGGACTGAAATAAGTTTAATGTCTATATGCTACACTTACCTGTAAACAGAATTAATTTAGATGACTCTTTAAAAATAAAGTAATGCAGGAAAGAAACTTACTGGCTACAATGAGAGATCATTTTCACAATGGAGCTTGTGATAACACTTAAATTCTTAAAATTGCTTGGGAAGCTTAGGACGAAATGAGAACTGAAAAGAAGAAATTTAGTTGTGCTATTGCCTGAACTACTGCATGCTGAAATTATTAACAATATTATAATTCTAGAACATAATAGCAATAATAATAGAATAACAAAAAATAGATAATAAGTGTGTAGAGCAAGGTTAAGGGCAGTTCTGAGTTGAGGAGACAAGTTCTGTGCAGCATGGCTGCCATGACTTTCCTTTTTGCTTTTCCTGAAGCAAGAACCATTGTTCTCAACTTTATTGCTAAGAAAAGTGTTGAATTTTTCACCTTTTTTTTTTTTTTTTTTCATATAATAGGAACAGTTGGTGTAGCTGGAAAATACACTCTTTTTAACAGGTCACTTAAGTTGTCCCTTGAGTGTTGTGGTGATGTGTGTGCACGTGCCACAGAAGGATGTAGCCTTAATTTGGTGAGCAGAGCCTCTGAGTCCTGCCTGTGTCACATCCTGAGCTGGCAGCAATGCCATAAGCATGCAGTTCCTCTGGCTCAGCTCCCCTGGGATACGTGTGCAGACTAAGGAGAAGGTGTGCTGGATTTCAGCACTTTGTTGTCCTCAAATACCTTGCTGAGTCAGGGCCTCCGTGGGAAACATTCCCATCACAGGAGTCACTCTGGGAAGTGTGGGAAGAGATGCTCCCCAGGTGCAGAGGTGAAGCTCGGTCCCAGCCTTGTGTTTTGGCATCCACAAAGCCCTTCTTGCTCCTTGGAATGGGGGTAATGGTTGGTGTGACAAGTAGCCATCAGGCTTCCAGTGCAGATACTTCACAGGCTGAAACGCTGTGATTGAATCATTTTAATTCTAATTACTTCATTCACATGCACAGCATGTATTTTTCCTACAGAGTCGGAAGCGAGAGCGTTGGCTAAGGAGAGGCAAAAGAAAGACAATCACAACTTGAGTAAGTTTTGGTTTCTCACATTTTGCACCAATTCTTGGAATGATTTTGGGCATCGAGTGTTCAAATACAGATGTTTTAAATCTGGATGAGGTACTGCACGTAGTATAAAGTACTAGATCATTGTGTTATACCCGTAGATCAAATATCTCAATTTCTTGTGAAATGTGTCCTTAAATCTACTGTTGAATTTTAAATCTATTTATTTTCAATAAATCAAGTGAATGAGTGCTTGTTATCAATGGAATTGCTGAGTTCAACATGTGGCCTAATTGCTTTTAACAAATCCACCTTGCACAACTTTGCTTTTTTTAATTTTAATTTTTTTAATATTAGATATGTGGTCAATTTGTGACTTTAAACAACAGTGTGAGTCCTCAGTATAGCAATTTTATAAATTTCATTTTTGAAAGGAACTCGTATTTTCAAATTGGAAAAAAAAATATTTTAAAATGATGATCATCTTATGATTTAATGGATCCATAACTTATCTTTTTATACTTTATAGTAGTAGAAAAAAGGAACTGTTTCATGCCTTGAGCCACTCAGAAGCCTTTTCCATAGCATGAAAAGGTAATGCAGGAAAATTGATATTTGAATTGGACTTTTGGATTCTCAAAGTGTTGCACATGAAGGACTACTTTAAAAAAGAGACTGTGCCTTTTGTTCCTTTTTCTATCTTGGGATTTTCTTGAGCATCTAAATATTCGTCTCTTAATTTGTATGTGATGCTTATCCCTAGAAAAATGTTTGCTTCTCAGTCATTCTGATTTTTAAGTCTCAGTTAAACTCTGCAATTTCAGCAGTCCCAAAATGTACAGTATAGACAGAACTTCTGTCTTAGTGTGTCCTTGTGTAGGAGAGCAGAATAAATCATCACTGGATTTTAAGCTTCAGGCAAACATTTCAGTGGTGCTTAAAGAAATCTTTGATAAAACACTTGATAAGTTGTAATTAAGTGTGAATATTACTTGTAACACTCGTGCTGTTTTTCCTAAAGTTGAACGAAGAAGACGATTTAATATTAATGATCGTATAAAGGAGCTGGGCACCTTGATACCCAAGTCAAATGACCCGTAAGTACAACATGCCCAGGGAGACTGTGGGAGGGAGGAGATAAAATAATCCCAGGGGAGAACAAGAACTTAAACACCCACCCCAAAGTTCCTGTTTTCTACTTGCTCTTAGCACTCCGTGACAGCAGAAATGCTTGAAAGGTTTCATTATATTTTTTGAAGATTTTTTTGGGGCATTCATTTTTCCCCCGTTGGAACCTGCTTGTGTTTGTGTTAATTCGAAGATTTTTGTCTCAGAGCTGGGCTTGGTGCTGGGAGTGACTGCCTTAGCAGAGGCAGAGGAGGGGAAACCTTATGCTGGTCTGGCTGCTTAGATGGTTGCATGTCTTGCTAAATGATTATTTTAATTAATTGGATGTTACTGCTTGACAAGACTGAACTGGTCCCTGTTTCAGTGAAAATGGAGAGCAGTTTATCTGGGAAGCCATCACATTCCCCTTCCCTCCAAGGGAAAAAAGAAGGAAAATAAAGAGTGCAACTCTGTGCTTATTCACTGATAATGTGTCAGTGTTGGTTGTAATTTTTGAGATGTTCTTTACAATAATTCTACAGTGATTTTCCTGTTTATATTTACGTTTTACTGCTTGTATTTACATTTTCCCAGTGCTGGTTCAGTAGCGAGGAACCTTCCTTGCTCTGGAGTTTGGAAGTTCGCTTAAATCTTAATCAATGCCCCGTGATGATTTTGGGGAGATTTTCCTGTGTTTTGAGGCACAGCTACTCTGCAGAGAGGCTCTGCAGCCTCTTCCAAGGCCAGCAGGACAATATCTCTCAGTACCAACCTACAGAACAGGTGCATCTTTGCACTGACAGTGTGCAGTAAGATGTTTTTTGCTTATTTAGAGAAAGTAAGATGATGTGAGGAGATGGTGGTGCAGCAGCCTCTCTGTCTCTGAAGCAAAGTGCTTCCCAAGCCTGTGCTCCAGCCCCCTCTAGTGCACTGCAAACACCCTCTGTATTCACAGACTTGGAATAAATGTCAGCTGGGTGTTCTGTGTGGATGAGGTGCGGTCACAGGTGCGGGTATGAAGGGATCAGCTGTGGAGCAGAGCCTCACCTTGTCCTTTTGTGTCGCTCGCCAGGGACATGCGCTGGAACAAGGGGACGATTCTGAAGGCGTCGGTGGATTACATCCGCAAGCTGCAGAGGGAACAGCAGCGCACCAAGGAGCTGGAGAACAGGCAGAAGAAGCTGGAACATGCCAACAGGCACCTGCTGCTCAGAATACAGGTTTGCTGAGAAATGAGCTGCAAATGCTCTCGGTGTTGCAGCGTGTGGTTGCAAATAGTGGTGGCTTGTGGGGTGCGGGTGAGGAGGAGCCGGTGTTTAAATTAACAGCGAGCAGTGCTGAGATGCCTGCAGAGATTATTCCAGAAAAATCCAAAGATATCTTAGTTAAAAAAAATAAAGAAAAGAATCCTAACACTCCAGTAAAAGCACTTATGAGTGGTCTGGTTTTGTTCTACCATGGCCAACACTATTTCCAAACCGTCCCATCAAAAAGATTTATATGGTAATACATTCTTCTGTTTGCCAGGCCTAAGGCATTGGGACTTCATGTATCATGTAGTTGTTGATGGTCATGAAATTAAGTTCAGCTGTTTGGGAGTCTTCCCTGCTCCTTGAAGTCTGTAGGACTGTACAGTTCTCCTCAGCACTGAAAAGCAGTAGGTGGCATGAATATGTTTTCTCTGTGGGTTGTTGCCTTGTTAGATTCACCCAGGTTCCCAGTGTTCTGAGCTACACATAAATTTAAGGGTGAAAACTCCATTTCTCTATCTAATTCCTTTGTCTTCGCCTCAAGCTGGATAGGAAACCTTAACCTTGAAGCCAACACAGGATTTTTTTTCTGGATAGCCACCCCTCTCCATAGAAGGGTAATTAAAGAAGTGGGCCAGAATTGGGTGTAAGAACAACACCTAACATGGAGACAGCAATATCACAGATATCCTGGTGTTGCTGCTCCCCTGCAGCACAAACAGCTGAGCTCTGTGTGCAGCTGTGCCCTGCCAGGAGACCCCTCAAGAGCCCAGCTAATCCACCAGGGAGATAATGAAGCTGCAAATACCTGAGAGTCAAGTGTGGAAATAAACAGCTTTAAAATAGAACAGGCCAAGTTGAGCCTCAGTGCAGTTTTGTTCTTGGTTGAGCAATCTGCTGCTAGAATGAGATGATAAAAACACACCAGCCTTTTGCAGAGTGGCATCAAGCTGTGGTGTTTCAAAGCTAAATGAGATCACTTTTCAAACATCTTTCATCTTGCTTTGTATTACCCATCTGCTCTGGCTCCTTCAATCAAAATACCATAAAACCAGACCCTTGAATAACAGGCAATACATCTGGCAGCAAATAACCTCAAGTGTGTATTTTCCCTTTTTTGGTTGATTCTGATTAAGCATGGAATAAGGAACTCCTGATTCTGGCATGTTAGCTGATGGAAAAATTGCTTGTTCATTCCACCTTCTCCTCTGATCTTGCAGTGTGCCATTGCAAGCTTGTTTTAGCCTGGAAATGGTGGAAAAGAGTAATAATCAGCCTCAGTGACAGGAATATCCAGAAACAGCACAATCACAAATGAGATTGTGATTACTTAGTATAATGCAGAAGTAGAAGCAAAACATCTCCCTTTACTGATGTATTTGTGAGATGGCATTTCTGTATGATTAAATGTGAAGGTGGGATCTAAATTTTCCATGGAAATTTGAAGAATCCTGGCTCTGTGTGAAGTCTGAAACCTTCCTGTGACTTCCTTGTGATTTTTCTGCACAGGAATAGTGTTGTTGCTCAGTTTTGATTGACCTCTTGCAACTCTGCCAGACTTGCAGGGTGAGAAATGTCCCCTCCAGAGTCTCGGCAGGGATTGATAAGGATCACATAGACATGCTGTGCCTTCACATACGACTTTTTAAAAATTACTAAACACATGCTTCTGCTACCTTTTTTTTTTTTTTTTCCCCCTATTTTTAAATGTTTTCCTCACCCTACCTGATGCCAAACCTGCCTATCCTGGCACTGGTTTGAGAAGAAGCCTGGGGGGAACATGTCTGTGCTGCAGGGTGCTGGGTTTTGGCTCTGGTGTAGGTGCTGAGGAGGAGTGTGAAGGGCCTTTGTGGGATGGTGTTCACCCACCTCTTCAAGACTCTGCTGTTCAGGTGAAAATCTGCAGGGCTGGAGTGTGCAAGGTACAAGCACTTGTCACTATGGCAAAGGGGGGAAATGTGTACAGGAGAAGGAAACTGGGAGCTGCGAGACGAGCAGGTTTTACTTCCAGATTTTGTTTTAATTCGTCCCTTATTCTCCTTCCCAGGAGCTCGAGATGCAAGCCCGGGCACACGGACTGTCCCTTGTCCCATCTACGGGCCTTTGCTCCCCTGACATGGTCAACAGGGTCATCAAACAGGAGCCTGTGCTGGACAACTGCAGCCAGGACATGATGCCACACCACACAGAGCTGTCCTGCACCACCACCCTGGACCTCACCGACGGCACCATCAGCTTCAGCGACAGCCTGGGAAACGTGACTGAGCCAGCCGGCACTTACGGCGTTCCTGCCAAAATGGGATCCAAACTGGAAGATATCCTGATGGACGATACCCTCTCCCCCGTGGGAGTGACTGACCCTCTGCTCTCCTCCGTGTCCCCTGGGGCATCAAAGACGAGTAGCAGGCGGAGCAGCGTGAGCATGGAGGACACTGACCATGCTTGTTAGCATCTGTTGGCACACCTTTCATGAACTGCTTTGGTTCTTGATCAGTAGATGAAATAATTTACCTTTTGTAGAATTTTTTTGATTTTTTTTTTTTGTTTTTTTTTTTGTTTTTTTCCCCCGTTGTGCTTCATCAGTGTGTGTGCGTGTGTGTATATATTATATATATAGGATTTTTTTTAGAATTTTTGTGAAGAAACTTGTATATTCTATTTTAAAACTACCAATGCCTCCAAAATATTGTACAGCATATGTACAGAATCTGTGAACTGGATTCGCCAAGAACTTTGAACTGGTCAAATCTACTCAAAGCAATAGAATTACAGATGAAGAGTCTGTTTCTACAGGGGGGGAGGGGGCAATTGTAGGATTGTAAATGCAACCTATTTACTTGGAAACAAAATATAAAGTTTAAGAATGTAAAGAAACAACAACAAAAAGTCCAATTTGTAATTGTATTAATTGAATAGTGCTGCCTTAAAGATACAGTGTCCTTCAAATGTTGGTCTTACATGACAAGTGTTTAGGGGAAGTACCCATCCGACTTCACTCAGAAAACAAACTGAACCCAAGTGTTAAGACATCCTGATTGTGTTGATTGTGATATAAAATGCTGTTGCTGAAACTGCAGGGAGATGTGAGTGTCTCAGAGTGTTGTTTAATTTTACTCTGAGCTGATTTGGGTTTTCCTTTTGATCATGGTTCCTCTTAAATTTTTATTTTGTTTTGTGGCACAAGTGGATGGCTTTGCCAATGGCAAACCGATCAGGAGCACTGTAAGTTGGGATACACCCTTTGGACAAAAAAATATTATGCATATTATCAGCTGGGCACATTATGTTGTACATATCTAATTGGCTTTATTTTTTTTTAAATTGCATTGTACAGTTTCTTTTGATTTGCATGGATTCCTTAGTTATCCTCAACTTTTTGTTTTAAATTTATTTGTATTTCATTTGTAAGATTTTTGCCTCTTAATATTGCAGCGATTTTTTGACATTTTTAAAACTCATTGGAAGTTTTCTGCATTCTTTGTAAACACTTGAAAGGAAGCTTTTATGCAGGGTTCTGTGTTTTAAGAGAGATTTTGAGAATATTTTGTATATTACAGTCTCACTTTGAAAATGTTTTTAAACGCATTTAAGGTAGAGTAAAAATTTAGATTAGGTAATAAAACAACTCTGTAGAGAAACTGAACTTACATATTTATTTTTAGTGATACAGAAAAAAAGTAGTAATATGCTTGGAAACATAACTATGTAGTTAATATACCCGTTAGAGCAATTCGTGTTCTATTTCAGCACTGGGGCTGACATAAGAGAAAAAAAAAAACAAAACAAAAAAAAAGAGTAAATTACTGTATCTGCAAATAACTGTTACTTGATAACAATGTTATTAATTTTTAACATGCAACCATGTTGTAAAGGTAGTTCGGTGCATTATCTACTCAAGTGTAGTCCTATGCAATAACGGTAGTTTTCCTTGTATTATATCCAGCCTAGGTGTTCCACGGAGGTGACAGGTGGTGTTCCGAGCTAGACAGAGGGAATGGAATTCTCCACGGCAGCCTACAGCTGACTGGCAGGTGTAGCTCGTTCAGAATGAAGTGCCTTAAACTCTAGTTGTAGTCTTCCTCGACTAGCACTGACTGAAGTGTGGCATAGACAGAGCTTTAGGGTGGTGGTGTATAGGGCGTTGAGGTGTGGCATGGTGCCTACAGATAGAAAACCAGAGCTTCCCTTTCTCCTTTGTGCTACACTGGAAATTACATAGGATGAGTGCAACGGTGAGTAACTTGAGTGCCAGTTTGGCCAGCTTTCCAAGGAAACCTTGGGCTCAGCAGGCAGTGTTCAGAAGCCAAATGTGAACTGGGTAGGACGGGGTGGCTGGGGATAGTGATGGCAGTTCCTACGGTGCAGCTCGCTGAGCCCTCTCCCAGACATTTCCCCAGGGGAGGCTCCTGGTGTCCCCTGCCCTCCCAGCACAGGGGGCTCAGGCTCAGTGGGGCTGTGGAACTCGGGGTCTGTGTTCCTGTCACTCTTGCCATGTCTGTGTCCAGCCCTCCCTTCTTGCTTGAGCCACCAGCAATGCGTTAGCGTTGATGCAACCACGGGGTTGTGGCTTTTTTTCTTTCTTTTATAGTTTCTGAAGGAGGAGCTGGAATTGGGTTTTATTAATGCCTCTCCCCCTCACCCCAGACAGCTTTTGGGAATATGTCTTTCCTAGGGTAGAGAGCTCTGGCCCAGGCAGGACCCAGGAGGCTGCAGGATGTGCTGTGCTCACCGTGGTCCTGGGGCAGGAAATGCCCCCAGTCCTGCAAGGCAGCTGTGCCATAACTCTGAGTCAGCTATGGGGGTACAGCCTTGCTGTTTGGCAAGGGTGACAGGTAGGAAAGTCAGGGCTGTAGAAAATGCTTGTGGTTGTAACACAGGGCTCTGTTGCCCTTCCCCAGAAAATGGGACAGCTCTGCAGCATTGGTACAACAAATCAGGGTGTGCATGCTGGAGTGTAGTAACTGAGAACCACTGAATGTATTGAATGAGGCTTTTGGTTTGGTGCCTGCCCTGGGCATTCAGAAATTCAAGTCTAGACTGTGGTATATGAATATTTTTCAAGCTTATGTGAAACCACTGGTACTCGCTGACAGCCATGACTTCTGATTTTTGGCTGCATGTTGTGTGGAGGTGAGTTAGGATTCAAGGCCAACCATTCCATCAAGAGCTGGATTCCTTGGCAGAAGTCTCTGTGGCTGTAGCAGCTGTGTTGTGTGCTCCTGTACCTTGTGTTTTCTGGGGTAACACATAACTTGGCCATGCCCTGCTCACTCTTCCCCCAGTATTTCCTTAGGTCACAGCCCTCCTCTGAGCCTGCCCACCCTTGGAATGGTGACCTGCCCTGGGGACACCTCTAGGGGACACAGACCCTCAGAGCATGGTGGAGGGTGTAGCTGTGACATTTAGGAGGGCTTGGTGGCAGAGGACAGAGGCAGCAGCCACAGGCAGGGTTTGGCGTGGACTAGGTGGAGTGAGATGGACACAAGTTGTTGCCCAGTCTGGTGACATGTGTGACGCTGGGCAGCGCTGGCTTCCCTGAGCAGGTGGATGGGGAACCGAGCAATTCTCACTTTGCCAAAGCCATGCAACAGGCAGAGACGTGCAGAGTACCATGAAGTTCTTCCTTACTGCTTTTGGCCTATAAAGCAATATTTAACTCTTACAACCTGTAAAAGCAAAAAGAAGGTACATAAGGAAAGCACAAAGCACAAAATAATGCACTTACATTTATGTTGTTTGACATAAAATGCACTGGGGGGGGAAGCTGATGTTGATAATAGTATAAATACCTATATTTCTTGAAAAAGTGACATTAATTACTGCCTCTTGCTATGATGCTTGGTACTGTAATGTTGATATTCATCTGCTGTTGACTGCAGCAATAATTTGTGTATGGTCCATAGCACTGTAAATTATGGATCAATATTAATGTATCCAATGAAATAATTTGAACTGTTGTTCTTGATAGATGGATTAAAGCATTTGGTTTTTCACATACATCTGTGTAAGTCACTCGTTTTCCATGTGAGTGGATCTTGTTTTTCTGTTTTTTCTTGTTCTCTAAATCCTGCATTTGAAGTCCCTGCAGTGCTTCTGTGTCTGTGACTTGGCTATAGATGTGTCCATGTCCCTGACCTGGTGTTGGTTGGCATCCTTGGTTCCACCAGAGCTGTGTGGTTGTATTTGTGTGGCAGTCACACAGGGGAATGAAGCTGCAGACCAGACCTCACCTGGCTTTGCAAATACATGCCAAAGTGGAAAGACCCAGAGCTTATGGTCCAGAGTAAGGAATAAAACAGGTGGATGTGGAAAAATGTCATTTCCTTTCTCCCCTCCCATGGGATCTTGTCATCTGCCTCCCTCCCTCCCTGCCCCTTGCAGCTCATCAGGTGCCCTGTGAGGTCATGGGCTCCCCCTTTTCCCTCTTGCCACTCCTGCAAGGTCACCTGTCCCCAGCAGGTGACACACAGGAGCACCTCACCTCCTTCTCCAGCACACCTATGCATGGTAGGATCCCCATCCCCTCTCCGCTCACTCCTCCCAAACCTCCTCCCAGCCAACAGCAAACAGCTGCTCCTGGCTTCTGCTGGTGAGGAACCAGCTGTGGTCTTGCTGTGTCTTCCCATCTTCATTATTTCTTCCTGTCTCTGTTTCTCTCATCCCTTCTGGTCTTGTTCTTCAACAGCCTTTTGTTTCCTGTGCTCACAGCATTGAGTTCCAGCTCTCTGTGGACCTTGCTGCAGCAGCATTGGGGTTAGTGAGTGTTGTTTCAGGGGGCTTGAGCCCTGAATATAAACAGGAGTATTGAATTTGACCAATGTCTTGAAAGTCTGATACATATTAGAGTAGAAAATACCTAATTCAGTGGGATTAAAAATTATTAGCTCAATTTAAAAAACAGCCCAACAAAAAATGCGTGACTCTACTAGGACTACAGCTGAACAGCCCCACTCCCTCATTGTAGAAGATACTTGAGTAAAAGCTTGTGAGTGTTTCCAGCAGGTTTTGCAATGTAATTTCTTAGAAATTAAGCATAGTATTAGAATGTAGTAGTACTGCATTAGAAAATCTATTTATTAGCAGCTTAGGATACAATTGCTATTTTAAGTCTGAGTTCTTAGATGTATTTTGACTTTGCTTCTGGTGGTCAGCTGGTTTTTTTTGTGGTCCGCTTGGAGTGAATTTCTTACTGTGGGTGGCAGCACCTCAAGGTTTTGGCTGGCTTGGAGAACCCAGGAGGAGCAGGAAGAACAGAACACCCATCATGAGGATATTGGCTGTTGGCAGTAGCTCTCTGTCAGTAAAGAGTTGGTGGCAGCTCTGCTTAGAAGCCTGTTCAGTTGTGTTTTTCAGCCTGAAAAATTCAGTGCAGGGTAAGAGAGTGGATTTTAACGGTAAGTCCGTCTGTGCCTGGTGTGGAATTTTGCTGGGAGTCGCTGTGGCTGGAGGATGCTGCAGGGCTCGGCTGTGTGGTGTGGTGGCACAGCAGGACATTGCCACCGTGTCACCTCGTTGTGCTTTCCTTCTCAGGAGACCTGGGAGCCCAGCAGGTGAGTGAGGTGGTGATGGCTCTGCCTGGTGGGTTCAGCAGTGCTGCTCCTTCTGCTCTCAGTCCGGGGTGGTCCCAGCACTGAAAATTGTCTTACACTATTGCTCCAGCTTCTTTGAAATACACTTGTTTAAAATTGCAGAGGAATGGCTTGAAAAAGTGTTCCTGGGTTATTAAAATCAATGAGGCTTGACAGGATGCTGCCTCACAAGTCAAATGTGTGTGCACTGAGCAACACTCTTGTCTTTGCCTGTGACCTGAGGTTCACCCTTCCTTGAAACTGCTTCTTTCCCAGCTCAGTTTTTGGGAGTGATGCTCTTAACAGGAGTTGTGCTCTGGCATCACAGAGGGAGGTGGTGATTCTTGTGACAGAGCCCTTTGTGTTAGTGCTGTGCAAAGAAAGGAGGAGGCTGCTATGGTCAGCAGGAAGGGCATAAAAACATATACATACAATATTTATGTGCAAAGCATGTAAATGTTGTTTATATATGTATATATTTCACCATGGGTTGTTGATGCCCATATTGAGGATGCTGCCTCAATGCAGGGTTTGCTGGATGGGACACAAGGCCCTGGGGGCTCTGGTCCTGCTCAAACTCTTTGCCTGCTCTTTTGCTGTTCAGTAACGCCTCCCCAGAGCTCCCTTCTCCCTCTGGCTTTCCTCCTGTGTGCCTGTGACAGCAGCAGGAGTTAGACTTGAATTAAAAGGGTGGGGAACAGCACACTCTTGTGGGGCTGTGTCCTCGTTCCCAGCACAGACCCACCGGGTGCAGGTTCCTGCACTCCATCCCAGTCCAGCAAACCCTCTCTGCTCCAAGGCCAGCTGGTTTACCGAGCTGATCATTTGCAGGTTGTTTTCTCGGAGTGCAGTGTGTAACTCACAGCACGGGTATAGGCTCCAGGTGGGCACAGAGCAGGGGACCAGGTGCTGTGTTGCGTTCAGCAGGCATTGCTCCCGTGTTCAGCACTGTTTCTTCAGCCCCTTCAAATACATTTAGTCAAAATCTTTTAATGTCTTCAAGACCTTTGGTGTGATTCTCATTTTACACTGAGTACACTGAATGCTACTGTTCACTGGGCATGAGTGATTGATGCTTAGATGCTCCTTTATGCATTCCAGAACCACAGAATCATAGGCTGGTTTGGGTTGGGACTTTGTTAACATTTCTCTTCTTTTTTTCCCTGCTGAAAAGCAGTTTATAGAGCAGGTTGTTGCACAAGAAATTACTTCAGCACTTGTAAATAATAAAATAATTTCTTATTCTCTGACCACTAAAGTAATTTTGTTCAAACAAATCCATAAAGAACTTACACTTCAAGGACACAGCTGGGACTTTCTGCTTTTCTCTTTGCAGTAATGCATCATAAGAGAATAAGCAGAGATCTTTGGTCTAAAGTAATAGTTCTGTTTGAAAAAGCAGGAACTAAAGCAAAGCTGAATACATGGAGAGGAATTAAATTCATGCTAGACATTAAAAAAAATGCACCTCAAACAATGAGGGGTGTTTTAAAAAGTCACTGTTTTATTAATAATACTTTCCACCCCTTTTCCTTGATCTTTTGATGACAAGCCTGGCAGAGGCACTTTTTATCAGACACTGAAGCAATTTTGCTGCTGTCATGTGCCTTTCTTGATACACACATATTAGTCACGCAGCCGTTTTATGTTCTTTAGCATATTTTAATATATAATTAAAAATGTGCCTGTCTGCTACCAAGCAACCAAGCACGTCAGGGGCTGATTGTGTTCTGTCACCCACAGCAGAAGGGAGGGTAAAAAAATAATAATAATCATGTGTTCACTTTTCAGTCCTAATTGTGCTTCAGCTCCTTGGATGTGTTGTCACAGACACAACCACTGGCTTCTGAAGCAGAGGCAGAGTCAGCATGGGGGAATGGCTGGCAGGTGACACACAGCCAGGTCACTGTCAGCAATAACACACCAATACTGGGTGCTGGGCTTTTAATGTGCATGTGTGCTTTTGGGACGCTTTTTGGTTCAGTTCACCTCGACCCTGCTAAGCTGCACCTTGGCTTTCCCTGGAAATGGCATGCCAAAGGCCTTTGGACTCCTGAGAGTCTCTCCCTGGACATTTAAAATAAGCAGCTCAAGTTTGTATTGTACCTCCTCCACAGAGGTAGATGGGAGTAGGACACTGCTGCAGGACGCTGACTTGGGGGGTGATAAACCTGTGCTTCATTCATTTCTAGGCTATCTGGTGTGAAAAATGGCCCACACAGCTGCTGGAGAGGAGGAGAACCATTTGTGAGTGTGCCCAGGTGACCACTGTAAGCACAACATTGAATGGCTTTCAGCACCTTTGCCCCTCAGACTGCTGTCCTTGGGGCTCTCTCATACTCCAAAAAAGTTGAGGTCACAGAATGTTTCAGGCTGGAAGAGACCAAGTGGGTCATCTGGTCCAACCTCCCTTCTCCATCAGGGTCATCCCAGAGCACAGGATTGTGTCCAGACAGTTCTGGACTATCCCCAGTGAGGGAGACTCCACACCCTCTCTGGACAATCTGTTCCAGTGCACAGTCACTGCACAAAAAAAAAAGTTCTTTCTCAAGTTCAGGTGGAACTTTCTGTGCATCGATTTCTGCCTGTGTCCTCTTGTCCTATTGCTGGGCACCACTGAGCAGAGCCTGGTCCATCCTCTGACTCCTTCCTCACCTGCTCTCCTGTTGCACTGCCCCTGTCTATTCTAGCAAAGCTGGTGGTGCTGGTGCATCCCTGAGAGAAGTGGCAGCTGTCTGAAACCCAGTGAATGAGCCTGTGTTTGATGCTCTGGAAAAAGGAGACAAGTTCACTGATACCCTCAGTCCCAGGGTTATTTAACTGGGAATTCATGGGTTTATTTCTAAGATGCTGTGGCTCTGAGAATGTGCTCTGAAGCTCCTTGGTAAGATGATACCATCTGTGTGAAACCCTGTCCTGAAACTGGGGAGATGCACTGCTCTGGAGAAGGCTGAGCAGGGCTTTCTGAGCAGTTTTAAACACCTCATCTCCAGGCTCAAGAGGAAAAGGGATTTATTATGTCAGCTCTGTGCCACACTTCTCCAGTCTCTGTCTCTCAAGCACATGCAAAGGTACTCAGGCACACACTGTGGGCAGCAATGCAATCATTAGTTCAAAAATTTTTCTATTTTAATAGCTTTTATTACTTTAGCAAAACAGAAGCCAGCACATCAGCACAAACTGGTGTGGGGAAAAAAATACCGGGGGAAAAAACAAATAATGTTGTAAATAATTCAAAGGCTGTTTGTTGATTGCAATTCCTTTGATTGGACCTCCAGGGAGAAGGATGGCATTACTTTTACGTTTTTCACCATCAGCATCCATTATATAATCTGCTCTGAGTCTGCCAGGATCCTGAGACATGACACTGAGGCTGCTTGAAGACGATGAACTTGCTTGGAGTCTAATTTCTCTTGGTTTTCCCCAGTTGGCCTTATCTAACCAGGAAAGGCTGAGGTGAGAAAGGAGCCAGGGTCTGACAGGTATGAGGAGCTCTATGGCAGCTGTGGGGATACCAATATTGCCAGGAGCCCAGCTTTGTTCCTGGGCAGCAACGCTGCAAATGGTGCCCTGTTTGTCACAGCAGTGGCTTGCAGAGGTTACAAAGGGAAACCACCACAAACATTTGGGCAGCAAGAGAAGACTTGCCATCATGTCCCAAGTATATTTGTCTTTGTCAAGACAAAAGGCTGCCATACTGCCCAGAGACAGCCCCCATGTGCTTCACAGCAGTGATATTTACTGATCTGTGACTTGTGATGGTGCCTCTAATCAGAGTGTCTCTAATCCCTTACACTGGGTGCAAAGGCTGGCAGATGAGCTTCTTTGTTTTCCTCTTTTGATTGAGAGAAAACAAGAACAACACCAAGAAAAAAAGAATAACCAGTGAAGGCGATAACCTACTTGAAATATTTTATATAGAAATTTTGCATGGTGCCGTACCATGGTCTATGAGTCAGCTACACCTGCTCGTGTCAGGGCTCCAAGCACAAGCAAGGTGGGATACCAGTGGCAAGGGCCATGGCAGTTACCAGCTTGGATTAACTAAATAAATGAATAATCCTGCTCACTTTTCCTGAAAGAAGGCTGTTTGCTGTGGACTACACTACAGGCACTCAGTGTTTTCACTTGTGAGCAATCACTTCTTCAGCAATAATGGATTCCCTTGTGAACAAAGCAATTGAAAAAGGTAAATTCACATCAGACGCCAATATTCTGCTTGTTCCATGCAGCTCTGGGGTGGATGCAGTTTCATGGGTGCTTCTGTATTTATCTTGTTCAGAATTCAGTTCTGCCCACTACCTTACAGTGGCAAACAGCTCAGGCCTGGGGCAGGACCATCACCTTGGGCTTGCAGCTCTTCCTCCAGCACCGTCTGGCAGTCCTTGACCCACAGCTTGTATGCTCTTTCCAGGGTCTCTTCACTGGTGTCGTTGAATATGTCTGGAAAAGAAGTGTTTTAGTTAATAGGACATCCAGAGGAGCTTTTCCTGCCTGCACACACTGACTGGCTGGGGCAGAGTCACTCCAGTCGGTGAGAGCCTTTTGTCCTGTGTGGGGAGACTGAGCTTCATGGAAATGGTGTGAAAATGAAAGAAATGCCAGGGATCACAGCCTGGTCCCGTGCATTACTTCTCTGTTAGGGATTGGCTGGCCTTTATTTTTAAATCTTAGGAGTATTTCATCCCAGAAATTGAACTGATATTATTTAGTTTGCAAGTATTAGTTCTAGGCACAGTAAAAAATTAAATTCCTTTTGCCAAAGACTATTTAACCGATCTTTTGAAGTATAGCAGAGGAATTGGTTTTTTTCTTTTCCCCTTGCTGGTTTGTCTTCCAGAGCACTGCATTTCCCTTTGCAAGGTGAATTGGTTAATCACAATGCAATTAATTAGACCTCAGTCCTTAATGGAATTCTGGGGCTTGTACGCAGGAGGGATCCTGTCTCTCTATGGGTTTACCGAGTGTGGAAAAGAGCACAGGAACTGCACAGGTGCAAACCACAGAGCGCATTCCCACATTTCACAGCCCACCAATGCTCCCGGGGGTCCCTGGCTGGTACCTGCCACGCCGAGGCCGGTGGGCAGGGGCATCCGTGGCTGTCCCCCGCTGTGCTTGAGGCGCTCCTGCAGGGCTCTCTGGATGAGGGCCCAGCTGCAGCCGCTGTGCCACACTGGCAGCTCCAGGCCCCTCATGCACTGCAGGATCTGCTCCTTCTCCTCGGCATCCAGGAGCCCGCGCGCGTGGGCCACGTACGTCATGAAGGCCATGTCGATGTTCACGGCTTCCCCGTGCATCAGCGACGGCAAAACCCTCTGCAACGCAGCAAGGGTGGGTGGCACAAAAGGGTTTGGGGTGGCAAATAGGAAACAAGTGGGGTTTATTTCTAGAGGCGTCCCTGAAAATCGGCGTTTGACTCACTGCGGTTGCGGGATGTTGGCGTCTTGTGATTTATGGGTTGCTAGGATGATCCGTTTTACGCGTGATTAATCGCAGCTCAAATCTCCCATAGGGATCTAGGATCTAATTCTCCTCTCATCTAAATCATTGATAGAGCACCATGAGATGGAGGGATGAGCTCTGAATATGGGATAAGGTGCAGGTGTCCCTCCTCATTCCTCAGTGGCAATTTGTCCCCCATAGTATGGGCTATGGCCTTCCTGCCTTTGTGCTGTTACAGTTCATGTTGGTGGTTTATAGTGGCTTTTCTGGAATTTGGTTTTCTTTGAGCTTCATTAAGTGCCCAGCAAGAAGCAACAACTAGAGTGAGGTCTGAATTGGAAACAGGTGGGGGGTGTGGGGGGCAGCAGGGCAGGAGAAGGGGTCCCTTTGACACCAGGCTGCTGTGCTGGATGGCCTGGGGTAGCATGTGCAAATCTGGAGTTATCTCAGCTCCTTTTCACAAGGTTTTCATGCAGCCTATTGAATTGTTTTTTATTTTATATTTGAAGTGGGTATTGCAATATAAAGCCTGTCACTCACCATTTCCAGCTCTGGGCTAATAAGGTGGCCAAAATCAACCAGTCTGTCCAGGTCATCCTCCCAGAGGTTGGGAGCCAGCTCTTCCAGCATGGTTTCAATGGCAATCCTGGTAGTCTGCAGTGCAGCATCCCTGTGGTCAGCAAAGCCATTGCAGGACTGGAACTTGGTGTCCAGTAGGTGTTTACCATGGCTCTTGAGCAGGTCAAACAGCCCTTTGTGTTTCATGAGGGCCATCTGGGACAAAGAAGAGATTTTTTTTAGTTTAGATTTTTTTTAATTTAGGATAATTGTCTGATCCTTGTATGTGCTGCTGGAAACTTGAGTGTTTCAGTAGGTTGGACTGCAATAACATGTTATACACTAGCAAAGAATCACCTGCACATGTGCTGCATGGACAAGTTGTATCTCTGTAACCTGAAAAGGTGTCTCTGTAGACAGAGCTGTGTGAACAGCAGGTCTCTAGGGAATGTGACCCAGTGGTGTCACACATTGTCAGCTGTGCTGAGTGAAGGTGTGTGCAAAAGGCAGTGTGGAAATGCCCAGTGGGACTCTGGTAAAGTGGCAGAGATGATGGGAGCTCTGGTTCCCCTGCTGCTGTGCAGCTCTGCCCGTGCTGGGGGTTTTCTGTGTGCTCC